GAGGGCACCAAGGCCGTCACCAAGTACACCAGCTCCAAGTGAGCGCTCCTTCCTCTACCTGCACCCCAAAGGCTCTTTTCAGAGCCACCCACTTTATCGCTATGGGAGTTGTGATGACTTAGCATTTTCGATAATTTGGGTTTTTTTTAAGGGAATTGCTTTTGATGAAGACAGGTGTGCGTCAGAATGGTGCTAAATTACGCGTTTAGAAACGTTAGAGGTTTACTTACTGGTTAGTAACAGCTGTTAACCACCTTTGCATTTTCACAGGCTGCTTATCTTTATATTTACACCACGTGTGCTAACCTAAGTGGCCTCTTGATGGAGACGGTGCAGTAAATTTGGTGAATAGTCTTTCTAACGGCATGTTTGGGAGCGACTAAATGGTACAACTTTCAAGGCAAATTATATGCTTCAGGTGAATTTTCTTAAACAGAAATCCTCCAAACTCGGGAGGAACCTAACTGAAATGCAAAAACATTGACAAATAACCACAGCTGATTCCTGGAAAGATAACATCTAAAATTTTCCAGCTACCAAATCACAATTATGGCAATTCAGGAAAGAAGTTCCTTTAGCAATTACTGTTAACTTTCAAGGTTTGTGTAGGTTTCTTAAAATTATTTTCGAGTTTTTTAAATTCATAGTGTATATCAATTTTATCTTGCGTTATACATAAGTTAGTGAAAAATACTCCTGTAGTTACACCCTTTACTGTCGATGCAGATATAGCATATGTACACTGCATAATACACATTTTCTAATAATAAAGTCTCAAAGTTTATGCTATGAATGGCATCCCCTACAAAAGAAATGCTAATAGTATAGATACAAAATATTTTAGAATTTCAATCCAGTCCTAGGAAAAAAGACTTCTGTACTGTATGATTTCTTTCAACAGTAAAAAATTTTCCACTTGTACTGTGTACATACAACATACACAAGAAGATGTATAAACATTCAAATACACAAAGAAAAAAAGCAAAAATCTAGAAAAACACTGAAAACTAAAACTGCCACTTAACTTTATATAAGTTGGTTAATATAAATAGTCATGGCCTATAATTTCAGAACTACTGAATTCTGATATTGTAAAAGGAAAGGTGGCCCTATTTGGCTCCTCTTCCCAGAGCTGAAATTATATAGCTATCAAATTATACAAGTATTGTACCCCATAGTGTTATATGGCATGATGCCACCCCCGTGGTACCAATCTTTGTCAATTTATCTGACAAAGGATATAGTTGAACAGGGAATTAAGTCTACTAATAGACCTACATCAATAGTGAAATTATACCATAATTTGCAGATGAACTCTATTTAATCACTAGGGTCCTCAGTAGTGTAAGAGGGAGTTAGAATATATCATAATATAAATTGCAGCGTGAGAATGGTTGGCCATAGATTGCTGACTTTGAAAGTAATGGAAACGGTTCAGGAGTGAAGGACAGTGTAGACTCAACACCTGAAAAACAAGGAAACAAATTGTAAGTCTTCAGTTCTTGAGCTTGGCTTAGTGAGATTCATGAAATGATCTAAACTTACTGAACCATATAATTATAAATTTGTATTACTTTTATCCACAAAGTCTGTAATAAATTGTAGATCGCCAATAGGAAATTAATACAACCACACAAGTGAAAGAAACATTGACTAATATACTCAGTAAAGTAATATTAGAGTAATTTACTCAGTAAAGTAATATTGTAATTATACATATGTAAATTTAAATGTGTAGATAATTACAGACATATTATAATCATAGATACATGAAAATTCCAAAATCAAAGCCTCAGATAAATTTGGAAATGCCTTGATTGTAAAGCAGCAATTTACTTTTTGTTTTGCTTTGTTTCACTGTGTTTTTTGCTACATTCTAAGATGTTCATTTTTGTCTTACAGAGCAGAAAGTCTGATTTCCTGGAATATGACTTCTTGTATGCATTCACAGCACTATTATTACTAAGGAGTGATATGCATATCACTTCAAAAAGCTTTCATTCATGATGTTACAATGTAGGATTGTTGGGAAAATTTGTCTCATGTACTCCATAAATGTCTTTGTTAGGCTAATAGTTACTCATTAGCAGGCCAGAGAGACAAAAGGGGGTAATGTCAAAAGACTATGCTTTACAGTCATGTAAAGAAACGATGATTTTAACACAAATATAATAATTTGTTAGATCTCATACCTAAATTGATCCCACAGAGTACAAGGACATTTTAAGGCTACACACTATTCAGTCCTTTGGATATTGTCACTAGAAAAGATCCCAGGAGTTTCCCAAAGCAGAGATAAGGATCCTAAACCCACCCTCCCCACAGAATAGGTTACAGATTCACTGCCTCCTATTGTGGGAAAAGAAGTGTCAGTACTGAACAGAAAGAGGCATAGAAAGGATTCATTAGGCAGAATTTTAAAAGTTCACACTCAAGAGTATAGTGCTGGTGTTCAGAAGAATAAAGCAGGTCACTTCCAGGAACTGGAAGCATTTATGCTTCTCTTGACGGGAGGAAAACCCAAGGTAAAGAAAACTCCAAAGCTTACTGGCCAACTTACAGATACGAGTCCAGTTCATTTTGTTTGTTTTTTTTACTTTTAAGGTGGATAATTTAAGTAATGTTTGAAATGTTTCAACCTGTTCCTTTATGTTTGGATCAGGTTCCTGCTCTTTACTTGCTCAGGTAAACAAATTTAAAAACTTGCATTATCCTTGAGGAACTTTCAGTGTGATGCATTTTGAAAGAGAGGAGCCTAAACTGACCCACATAGACATTCTTTGATTACTTTGATGGGTCCCAGGAGTTGTAAACTTTTAAAAAGTACACTTTTTAATTATGATTTTCCTTCTTTCTTTTCTACCTGTCTTTATTTCTTCCATCCTACCTAAATAACTGGCCGCCTGGCATGTAGTTCCAGAACAAGGCATACAGTATTCCTGGTTGCCATAGTCTAGTAGTCATAGTAGTAGAGGTGGTAGCAGTCATAGTAGTAGTATTTTAAGGGATAAGAGATTGAACTCAGGGTCTAAAACATTCTAGTCAAGCACTCTACCACTGAGCAAAATTCCCAAGCCCATCTTTAAATATCTTGAGTCAACCAAAATCACCTACTTGGGTAAAACACTGCCACAGGGGCCTGTTTCCTACTAAACACCTCACTTCTCAAGATTCTTCAAGTAATTGCTTTACCTACTGGCAAAACTGACAGTGACAAATGCTTTAGAGACTTAGTTCTTTGAGACCAAGGAAAAATATCAAAGTCCTTAGTGTGAATAAAAAAAAATCAAATGTTATCAATATGTAAAGTATCATCATTACCTACAAACCAAGGGCAATTAGTTCTATCAGTCAATATCTACTCAGGAAAACAGAAATTCCTAGAGATCATTTTTTAAACGATAATTTAATAAACATGACACACTTACTGGCAGACCACAAATTAAAAACTGACTTGCAGTATTTCGAGGTAGCAGACAGCAGTAAGAACCACATATAAGCCAGGAAACACAGAGAAAAGTCAGAATGTTAGGGTCTAGAAGACAGAAGGCACCCTGAGCCAGTTGGGGCACAGAATACTGAAGAGGGGGTAATGAGGATGATTCTAAGATATGGGAAGAAAACCAAAGAACTTGAACAAATCGCTGATACCAGAAGGAGAGACCATTAATGGATGATACTTACAAGCCTAGAGCTCCCATCTTACCGTAGCCTCCCTTCCATCTCCTTACATTTCTGGCCAAACGATATCCAACTTGGGAAAACAAAACAAACAAACAAACAAACAAACAAAAAAGACTGAAAAAGAGCAAGGAAAACAGGAAAAAATCAAGATCTAGATTGATGTCCACATTGACCTCTCTCCACTGCTCACTAGGCAGCTAGGATCCTGATGCCCTTTACCCCCAACCCACCCAGTCGTTCTGGACAGGAAAGCAACCAACAGAAAGCACAACCTGTTTTCCAGCCAAAACTTGAAAATTGCATACCAACATATGTCGTTACTTCTAGTTATCATTGACAAGCAACTTCTAACACATGTCACAGTGATTCCACCTTTCTGATAGTGATGCTCCTACACTATACAATCCCCTTGAGAAAAGTTATAATTTTTCACAACTGTAATCCAGTAACAGTGACAAGATGTCACTTACAAGGTTATATAGTGACTGGCTTCTGTAAGTCTACTGTCATTTTGGAAGGAGTCCTATGGATACTCCACTGCCACAAGGAATGTGGCTTAACCTCCACATCAAACAGGACATACAAGAAAAATACAAAATACATACAGGAAAAAGACAATTTCAAATGTGTTGCATCATACACACAGCACTATTATCCTAGTTGTCGACCACAAATTCAAAATGAAAACCTAAGAGCAAGTTTTGTCAGGAAGTAAAACACTTCATTCAGGTCACTGCACCCATTCCACACACCACAAAAGCATTAGGGATTAACACTCAGAAACTGAGATGAGAAATGAAATTTGCAAGATTGTGCTATACAAAGCAATTTGAATGCTCTGAGAAAACAAAGGCCAGGCACGATGGCTCATGCCTGTAATAGCAGCACTAGGGAGGCTGAGACAGGACTGCTGTGAGTCTAAGGCCATACTGGGCGGGGTACGAAGTGAGTTCAAGGAGAGCCTGAACTGCATAGTGAAACCCTGTCTCAAAGAAACAAAAGCAAAAAACAAAAATTTAAGACTAAGGTACTTGCAAAATACAAAGAATGCAATTGCCTAAGAACATATTTACTTTCACTTGCAGTATTTAAAGTGCAAGCCTACAAAAGAATTACAGATCTTATGTTGAGAAAACAAGGGGCTCTGAAAAGAGCCTTTGGGGTGCAGGTAGAGAAAGGAGCGCTCACTTGGAGCTGGTGTACTTGGTGACGGCCTTGGTGCCCTCGGACACGGCGTGCTTGGCCAGCTCCCCGGGCAGCAGCAGCCGCACGGCCGTCTGGATCTCCCGAGACGTGATGGTCGAGCGCTTGTTGTAGTGCGCCAGGCGCGACGCCTCGCCCGCGATGCGCTCGAAGATGTCGTTCACGAACGAGTTCATGATGCCCATAGCCTTGGA